CCAACCACCCAATATGCAGACAACACAACAATCCATGACACGGAGAGGCGAGAAGTCGAGGAGATTGTGGAGAAATCAAGTGAAAAATTCAAAGAAGATAACCTAATGTTAAATATTCAGAAAACACAATATATTACAGTAACTAAAGCCGACTCCTCTTGGCGATCTGTCAAGCTGCTTGGCTCTTTGGTAGGGTCCGCAGAGGATATTCAGGCAAGAATAGGTGCTGCGAATAGAGCGTTCGGCTCCATTTCGTGGAAGCGTCATAAACTGAGCTCCAGACTTTGTATGTTCTCTGCCCTCATTTTGCCTATCCTGTTGTATAACTGCGGACTGTGGGCCCTGACACAGCAACTCAGTAATCGGCTGGACGCATGGCACCGCAGAAAATTGCGGTACCTGCTTGGTGTGGTGTACCCTTTACCACATGTCGAATGCCAAGGTGTACGCCTCAACGCGACAAGGCCCAGTCAGCACTACCTGTCGCAGACGTCGGCTGCTCTGGCTGGGCCATGTTGATCGCGAAGGACGTAACTCAGCGTCCTACCAAGCACTGGAGATGGCAATTAATACCCGGGACATCAAGCGCCCACGTGGCCGACCCCATCTCAGATGGATTGACAATATTAAAAGTGATCTAAAGCACGCCAATATTGATATTTCTGACTGTTTTGAACTGGCTCTAGACAAGAAAGAATGGCTGATGCTAGTGGAAAAATGTGCTGCGCTTGCGTAGTTGTTCTTACTGCGATACGTTCTAACAATAATGAGATGCCTTTTGTCGGCTCTTCTGCCTGGATTTCGTTGACAGATGCGTTATGCCCATGGATCCTTCCATGAGTGACATGCGAACTGTAACTATTATTACATGTATTATTATTACATACATGTATACTCTCGCTGCATACTGCTAGCAACGTGCAACCTTCGTATAATTTACGTCGCTCTCGTACTTGACACTTGCCAACTCCGAGGACTGATCGCTGTCTCCATTCTCCCCTGTACAAGGCCCTTCATTACTTTAATTGCTTGCCCACCCAGCTTCGCCAAATCCCTTCTCGTACTCTCTTCAAATCCCAGATATCCCTGCTGTTGCGCAACTCTGTATGCTCGTTTATCACTCCCTTAGTATTGACTCCCATTGATTTTCGCTATACCTAAGCAGTCAAATATTCCTGCATATTTCACTCGTTAGGGCTATATTGACTGCTTATATTTGACTGCTTACTATTTTTAGGGGTTGCGCAATTGAACCGTGCCTACATGTAGTGCAGCATTGTCACTGCATGAGTAGGTGGTGGACCTGGTGGTGCAACGGTTGTGCAATCATAAAACCGGGATTCATGAGGTTATCGTTCTGGAATTTGAAATACGGACTGTTTGTCGTGATAAATCTAATATTGACTTCGTACTTGGTCAGTATAGGAAATAAAACCTCGTAAAAGACCTCGGCTTTTATTTCCTATATTGACCTCGTACTCAGTCAATATTAGATACGTAGCGACCACCCCTGCCCGTACACGTAAGTAGTCATTAACCCCTAGGCTCTAAAAGAGAAAATCAAACTGAAAATTCGAATGAAAAAGAGGTTCAGCATGTAGCGCAGTCCAGTATTTTCGAATCGAGTTCAATTTTCTAGCCTGAGTAGTTGAGGACTGGGATTTTGAGATGTGCAATGGCTGCGTTTGTTGCAGAGCAAGTCGATTTGTTGGATTCGCTTGTCTTCCTTGAGTTCGCTGAAGGTCACCTGGACAGAACGGAGTTGCTGCTGTTTCTCATTGCCGTTGAGGATGACGCGAAGCGGCGGATGCTTCATCCGATTAAGGCTATTGGCGATAGGATCTCTCTTGGAGACCCCTTGAAAGGCGGATCTCGGCCGAGCTCCTCCGCTATCCCTTGCATATCAGGAGACCCGCGGACGAAGAGCTGAGGGTGGGCCCAACACTGCCTCAGCAGAATGAGATCCATGGTGAGGTCGAACCTCAAATATTTGGCACACATTGAGTTGCCCTCTCCCTGCGGGGAACTCACCATAGACGCGGATGCCGAGGCAACGCCAGCAGGGTTACTGGGAGCAGGAGGCATATACCGCGGGGGCTGGTAGTTGGTGAAAAAAGCCATGATTCCAGGATCTTGAAATGAAACAAAAAGCACACTAGACAAACCTTTTCACAGTTCGCGAGAGAGGAAAGCGTCAAGAAGTCCGGTTCGACTGTGCCTTGTGCATGTGCACATACAACTACGACTACATGTAGTAAGAACTAGTAGCTACATGCGCAAGTATGAGTACTCGTAGTGCGCCGTGTACTAGAGCACGCGCGGAGCATTCGAAAAGTATTCGAAAAGTATTTTCTCTTTGCGGGCATTTTTGAACAAAGCCCTAGTCCGCGATATGCGATATAGTTGGTGGAACGAGTGTTTGTTTGTTTGTTTGTATACTTTATTTGAATTCGCAAATCCAAACGAGCACAAATGCTCAATGACAAGGCAGCGAATATATTATTATGTTACAGGGAAGGAGGGTTGGGGAGAAAATAAGGAGAAAAAGAGAGAATGGTAGATATCTCAATGAAGAGCGAAGCGTTATCAAACTACAAGTAAGCCAGTGTTCAAAACCATTTGAACTTCACACTGTTCGTCTTCTTGTTGACATGCTCTCTTTCCATCGTCCTTAGCTTTTGTTTGTTGTGAACTGTTTCAATTGCGCGAAATCGCGCATCTATGAGCGACATCCACGTAACCTGCTGGGCCCGTGGTTGTGTACTCGAATCTCATTCTGAGCACCCTTTTTTCTTCCTTTTTTCAGCCGTTTTTTTGCAAAAAGTCCTCGAGCTCGATTTTTTTGATCGATCGTTCTTCAAGGAAAGACGAGTGGACAATCGATCAACAGGGCCGAGGACGAATGCGTCTGGTTGGAGTTCTTGCGTGGCACAGGATGAGCAGACACACATATAGATACATTGCGACGATCTAATCTGCACAGTGTTTCCTAATACCGCACGCACGACGGTAAGTACAATTCATGTGATTTCAAATTGTTAGTGATCTACAACGTCGCGAGCAGGACAGAAATACAGCAACTGCACGACAACCGTTATACCAGGCAGTAACCAACAGTCACCTCCGTCACATTCTCCAGATCAGAAGAAGGCAAGTGAGGCAGTGAACATGAAGAAATAAAGTAAAAAAGAATGAAAAGTGAATAATTCAAAAATCTCAGAAACGTTGAACGTAAAAAACACTGAGAACAAGAAAAGTGACTTACTTCGATGGCAAAAGACAAAGCGAATGTTCCTCGTATGGCCTTTTTTTTTTTTTTTTTTTTTTTTTTTTTTTACTATGTTCACACTCCCAGCTCGAAAATAATAAAGAAAGACAATGATACTGAGACCAGGACGAACGTGACAACTATCGGCATGTTGGCATCGTGTTCTTTGACCTAGCGAAAGCTTTCGACACCGTCTGGCATCGTGGTCTGCTTGCAAAGCTAGAGTCCGTCTTCTTGGTACACGGTCCAGCCCTGCAATGGCTCTCATCCTATCTTTCCTGCCGCCACCAGACTGTCAGAGTATCTACCTCCCTATCAGACCCACTACTAGTCGTGTCTGGGGTACCCCAGGGGTCCATACTTGGGCCGCTCCTATTTCTACTGTACGTTAATGACTTGCCAGCCCTTGTACCAAATGTAAGTCTTTTTGCTGACGACACTGCTCTGATGTGCTCCGACAGCTCGGCAGACAACCTCACGGCCTCCATGCAGTCCGGGGTCAACGCTACAGTAACATGGATGGAAACCTGGAAACTGAAGCCTAACCTCGCCAAAACCGAGGCCATGTTCTTCTCTCCCTCGCCCCCCCCCCCCCCCCACTCAACTTCTGTATTTTCCTGGTCTAAATAGTACACCTATTAAAGTTGTTAACGAGCACAAGCACCTGGGCGTTATTCTCGACCGCCAACTCTCCTGGTCTCCACAAGTCCAGTCTGTGTGCAAGCGTGCGAGTGCGTCCTTAGGTATGCTACAACCCCACTGCCAACACTTGAATGATAACTGCAGAGAATTGTTCTTTAAGTCGTACATTTTGCCTATATTTGACTATTGCGATATAGCTTGGTGCGGGTTGTCTCAGACTTTACTCCACAGACTGGAGGTACATCAGCGCTTGCTTCTGAAAATTCTGTTTCGAAAAGACCAAACATTTGCCTCCCTTTGTCTTTATAAACTTGCTTCCACGCACCCTCTTCTTGCCCGACATCAGCAGCATCTTTGTATCCTTTTGCAAAAAATTTTCCTAGCCCAAGTCCCGAAACATATTGCCAAGTACAACTGGTTTGTTACCACTAGACCAACACGCAATGCCTTATCACTGCCCCGAGCTAGTTCCTCTCTGTTTTTGAAATCCCCTTTCTTCTCAGCATACTCCCTTTGGTCTAACCTGCCTACTAGCATTAAGACATGCCAGGATATCAGGAAATTCACAGTCCAGCTTTCCACACTGTCTCATCCGAAGTGATCCCATGTATTATTAATGTGCCTCCCTTTCTTTTTCTCTCCCTATCTCCTTTCCCTCTCTGACAGCATCTTTTTTTCTTTTTTTTCCCCTTTTTAGCTTGCCGTGGTTGGCTATCACCTGACCTCTCATGTTTATTGGCAGTCTTCGGACGGGCCAGGAGATGTTGAATAAATAAATAAATAAATAAATAAATTGAGCAGGGGCTGCACCGAGACGCAGCAGTGATGGTGGGGCATTGATGGCTCTGCCGACCTTAGGTCTCGGCATCACGGCCAAAAACACGCACCCTGCGTCTAATGACAGCCAAAGCCCTGCATCTAGTGATGTCCACCAGGACAGTGGCCAGCACCAGCCCAAGCTTCAAGATACGTCAACTACGTCTGCTCCAGCCAAAGCCACGCCACCTCGCCCTGGAAAGCGTCATGCAGAAGATTCCCCTGGATCCATGTCGGGAATACCATGCAAAATGCAACCTTCATCTAGCTCTCAATGAGTAAGCTAAATCCAGTTGCGCGGGAGTTCTACCCTCAGGCTGCTACCGTATCTATTAACAGACTGCCACAATCTCATTCAACACATACCACCATTGGATTCCTTAACATCTGCAGCCTGCGCTACAAGATAGACACGCTGTCCGCTCTGATTAGGGAAAGGACATGGGATGTTGTTGGGATTGCGGAGACATGGCTGGACGCGTCTATAGCTGATGGAGAAGTGAACATTGAAGGATACAGTTTGGTGAGAAATGACCGAAAGGGGAGAAAAGGAGGTGGCGTCTTTATTTTTTACCGGTCCTACTTGCCCATCAAACCACGGCCGGATCTCAACCAAGGGGACACGGAGGTAGTGTGGGTTGAGCTAAATGGAAAGGCAGGCAATCACTTAATTGGCTGCATATACCGACCACCAGATGCGCCAGTCTCCTACTGGTCCACCCTTGAGGCATCGCTGCATCAAGCTGCTATGGTTACCTCAGCCGTCACATTGATGGGTGACTTCAATGTCAATATCTCGCATTCCCTGCCACAGCATGCCCAGCCCCTTCTGGATCTCTGTGGTGCATATGGCCTCACTAATATCGTCCACTCCGTTACGCGAGTCTCACCTCGGTGTCCAGCTGGCACTACTATTGACCTGATACTGACTACAGAGGATAAGGATTTGCATGATTGCCGAGTCCTGCCGCTTACACTCAGTGACCACTTTGGAGTTGAAGCAACCTTCAATGCAAGACATGCCCGGCCAGACATCCCCAAGCAGCGTGTGCGTCGCCGTTTACATAACATTGACTTGGTTGCCTTCCGACTTGACCTAGCTGCTGCTGAACTTCATGTGTACCCACCAGACTCTGATGTGCAAGCCATGTGGGACCACTGGCATCAACGATTCCTTTCTGTCCTCGACAGGCATGCGCCATTGCAGCAATGCAAGATTAAGACAGGCAAGCTCCATCCTCCATGGTCTGACAGAGAGCTATACAAGAGAAACCAGCTGAAGCGTCGCCTGCATCGAAAGTGGCTTGCTGACAAAGCCAACTCTGAAGCTCACGCAGCATATAGACGTGCCCGCTCGGTTGCTGCGAATACAAACAGGTGCAAACGCAACCAGTACTTCCAAAGTCAGTGCCAAGATAATTGCCAGAACCCACGCAAGTTATGGTCAGTCCTAAATACTGTGACTGGACGCAAGAGACAATCAATCCAGCCGACATGCGACATCGAACATGTTGCGTCCACGTTTGGCAAGGTAGTCTCTGATGATGCTCGACCTTCAGTTCTCTCTATGCCTCAGGGACCACAGCCTCGGTCTGCCCTGACCTCATTCCAACATGTGCGTGCCTGCGATGCTGAACAGCTTTTGAAGCGCATCGACCCGCGCAAAGCAACTGGGAGCGACGCCATCCCAGGCTTACTTCTAAAGTACTATGCCGACCTGCTAGCACCATCAGTTGCAGCACTTTTCAATGCGTCCCTGACCTCCGGCACTGTACCCGCTGGCTTTAAGCGTGCGTATGTGACCCCATTGCACAAGGCTGGCGATCCATCTGTCGCCAACAATTTCCGTCCTGTGTCCCTGCTCCCAATTCTCTCGAAGCTCTAGAGAAGGTGGTGCAGAAGGCACTTGCCACCTTTCTGGATATGGCTGGTTCTCTGCCCAGCACACAGTTTGCATTCCGGACAGGACATTCCACGGAGGATGCCCTTGTGCTGATGGTAAACAGGATCCTCGCCTCAAGAGACCGCCGCATGTTCACAGGTGTGGTCCTCCTGGATATGTCGAAGGCGTTCGACAAGGTTCGCCACCAGCAACTAGTCGAAGATCTCTTCTGTGTGGGCGTCACTGGAACAGCGCTCCAGTGGCTCATGTCATACTTGTCTGATCGCTGCCAGATTGTCCAGCTGGGATCCCAGCTTAGCACAGTGGCAGCCTGCTCCTGTGGAGTACCACAGGGGTCGGTATTAGGTCCACTGCTGTTCAGCCTTTACACCCGGGACATACCATCTGTTGCCCAGCAAGCTGAGTCCATCCAGTTCGCAGATGACATCGCACTGACCTGCAGTCGCCCAACACAACAGGAACTGACCGCCACTCTCTCCAGAGCAGTGACATGCATTGCTGACTGGCTGAAGCAGCGAGGTTTGATCCTTAATGCATCAAAAAGTCAGGCATTGGTAGTACCGGCTGGGAAGCTAGAAGCGCAACCTGAACTGGACGTATGGTGTCATGCGACTAAGCTGCCATCTGTCTCTTCTGCTCGCTACCTCGGAGTTCACATTGACAGCGCCATGTCTTGGAACACCCAGATGGATAGGTGCGTTGCCCGCCTCACCAAGAAAGTCGGTGTGCTGTGGCGGATGCGCCGCTGCCTCAGCATGCAAAGCCGCATCCAGTACTTCAAGTCGGTGATCATGCCTGATTTCTCATATGGCTCCAATGCCTTCTCAGCATCGCTGGCGGGTAAGCACCTGGACCGTCTCCAAGTTCTGCAGAATCGTGCGGCTCGAGCTGTGTACGGATGCTCGCCGCGCACCTCTGCCAGAAACCTGCTAGTCCAACTCGGCGCCTACCGTGTCCGGGAGATCTTCATCCAGAAGCTCATCTTCCTGGTTTGGCGCTGTCGCTACTCCCGTGCTAGCCCCACACTGCAAGTGCTGTTGCTACCAACCAGTGGCGCTCCTACTCGGTTGCAATCATCGACGGGTCTAAGACCACCGCCAACCCGCACTGAGCTGGGTAAGGGTTGTCTCGCGTTCCAAGGAGCTAGGCTCTGGAATGCGTTGCCCAGCGAGGTACGGGCCATACCGCACCCGGCCCAATTTCGCACTGCTGCTGTTCCACACAGCATGAACCCTTGAGGTCAGACGGATCACTATCGCCATATTTTCATTATATGCCTGCCTGTTGGCCTGCCTGCCCGTCTCTCTCCCTGCTCTCTGACAACTTGCTTGTTAATTCGTGCGGTTGTTTTCAGACGTAAAGCCCTGCTGTAGAGGTCTCAGCCCTCATTTGTTAGTGTCTCTCTCTGTCTCTCTCTCGCTCTCGGATCTCTCTCTCTCTCTCTCTCTCTCTCTCTCTCTGTTTTTGGTGGACAAAAATATCTCTGGCGTTGATTGCTTTCTTGCTTCGACTTCTGCCGCGCCTTTGTTCTCGTACTCCCCTTTATGTACAAGTGTTGTGCAGACCCTCCCTTAATATAGTCTGTCTCATTTTGTCCTGAGATGTTTTGATGCATAGTGATTATGACGCTCATCATTCGCTCCCTTGTCACTGGACAGTTCTGTCCGTTTGGTTTTAGCGAATTCAAATAAAGAAAACAACAAACAACAACAACCAAAAACAAAAGATATAGCTGTCCGAGTCAGCAAAATGAAAAGAAAGGAAGGGTTAACATCAGCGAGTGTGTGGGAGAAACTGTGAGACTATTAACAAACTACAAGGGCTGTTACTGAGAGGAGCATCATCATGGCTGATCATGGCGAGTCGGTTGTCTGAGCCAGTTGTGGTGCATAGATAGGGATAGAGGAGAACGACGAGAGCATCATCATAGCGAGTCGACTGCCCAGAGCCAGTTTGTGCTTCGCAGATGGCGATAAACATGAGCCAGAGCACGCTAAAATATGACCACAGACCAAAAATTCGATTTTCAGTTTTTTGTTCTAAAATGATCAAACACACCTAATGTTCACTGTCTGAAAGTTTTGGATTGATCGGACATGTCTAAGTGTTCCTACAATGGTATTATATAGAGCACTGTTGAAATGGTGAATTTCTACGTACAGCAATGGGATTATCATTTTTGCACACAGTTGATATGTCCCTTGGTTCATCCTTTGGCCGTCAGTTCCTCTGTCCAGGGTCTTATAGCATGAGCTGACAGGTACTCGGCCACATCCAAAATTTCTATAGGCAGCTGAGCTGGGTGTCCGAAATACCTCCTGTTCGGAGCACCACTGGAGAACCACCAGCGAAAACACGGTCAACATCTGTAGATGGCCGAAGAAGTTGGCACTCCACGTCCTCTCCATCACACTCCACCTGTAGTTTCAGATTATACAGTATACACTGCTGCACACAGTCTTCCTCAACATACTCGACGTCGCACTCATATTCCCCATACCAAAGCCCATCTGCACACGGTTTTCTCCGCTCACCAGAGAGTACTGCCTTCTCTGCCTACTGCTCGTGCTAGCGATGTTCCGCATAAGGGTGCTCAAATTATCGACTTGACCAAGTTGAGGGAGCAGCAGAGTGCATTGATTGTTTTTCCACTTGCAACCAACACTGGCATTGTCCCGGATATGTGCAGCGATGTCCATTCTGGCCAAATCATCGGCTGACTCAGCTCCCAAGTCAGTGTCGATGCCAATCGCTTGCCAGGTTGTCATCAGAGTAGAATTCCTCGTCACTGCAGATCGTGGGACTACCACCATCAATTCTTTTACGCTCGATGAAAGTGTCGCCCTCAAATGACTCGTCGCTGTAGCCACCATCGTCTTCTTTCTGTTTCCGACCCGAATCCTCAAATATTTTATCCTGCGCATGGAGTGCGAGGATGTTGTCTTCTTCCGCTCCACAGTACATTACTACTACTAGGCTCTTCCGTCGATACATCGATGACGATCAGTTTTAGGCGACTCAGCGCAATATGGAATACAAACTCAAACAAATAAACTTACTTGCAACAAAGAAATGCATCCGGAACAGTCTAGTCGACCGAGGAGAACAACAACAGCGACTTGCGTTGCACTGCACTTCGGTTTTTTTGCCGCGGAATTCAAATCGCGATTTTCTCGACTTTTTCAAAAAAAGCTGTGGTCATGTTTTAGCGCGCTCTGGCTCACATTAGTTTTGAATGCTTGCATTCCCTTGCTGTGGGGAGGCTGGGACAGAAGAGCGGCGGGGAGGGAGTTCCAGTCACTAATACTGCAGTGTGGGAACGAGCGCTTTAATGCCAGCGGGACAGATGCAAGCAGCTGGTGTTGGAGCTGGTGGTCATGGCCAATGACGCTACCATGCTCGCTGCGAGTTCTGGGGCTGGATGAGGGGAAATGGCCCGGTGGCAAAACAGAGAGCAGCTGTGGAGGGCCAGGCAGGTAATGCAGCTTGTATAGGCAGGCAAGCGAGGCAACAGTACGACGGATGGCCAGGCTAGGTAATAGTGCACCTGGACCGATGATTCGCAGAGCACAGCGTTGGATATGATCCAGGCGTTGCAGGTAGCTGGGCGGAGCACCTATCCAGATGAGGGGGGCATACTCCATAACTGGTCGAACAAATGCCTTGTATACTGTGGTGCGGCTGGCTGGAGAGAGAATGTGCGCTGCACGGCGCAGGAAGCCCAGGCGTTGTTTGGCTCGAGTGGCAACCTTCAGGAGATGAGTGCTGAATGACAGCTTCGAGTCAAAGGTCACTCCAAGTAAAGAGAGAGCCTTCTCCTCAAGGACAGGAGTGCCGCCGAAGACAATGCGAGGCAAATTGATGGGGGTTCTGCGGAGAGTGGCGGTCATGGCTTGGGACTTCGACGGTTCGAAGGAGATGCGCCATCTGCGGCCCCACTGATGCAAGCGATCAACAGAAGTCTGGAGGCTCAATGCTGCGTCGGCTGGGGATGTGTCGAGGGATATCAGGCTGTACAAGGTAGTATCGTCGGCGTACGCCTCCAGGTCGGCTTCGGGTGACAGGGTCTCTGAGGCGTCGTTCAGGCGTAAATCAGGAAGAGTGTAGGGCCGAGTATGCTCCCTTGGGGAACTCCTGCTGATATGGTATACAGCGATGAGGTTTGGCCGCCCACCAAGCATTGAATGGACCGTCCACCTAGGTAGGAAGAGAGCCAGGTATGCAGGGGGCCGCCAATGCCAAGATGGCGGACTTTGTGGAGGAGGCCAGCATGGGACACACGGTCGAATGCTCCGGCAATATCCACGGCTAGAATACGTGCTGCACCGCCTCGGCCGACGGCTGTGATCCAGGCGTGGTGTAGAGCCTGTAGCGCATCTGAGGTCCCGAGGCGGCGACGAAACCCGAACTGGTGGGGTGTCAGGAGTTTGTAACGCTCAAGGTGATTCATGAGCTGACGATTGATAACGCTCTCCATGATCTTAGAGATTATGCTCAGCAGTGAAACTGGACGATAATTCCTTAGGGCGGATCGTGAAGATCGCTTGTGGATTGGAACCACGCTGGCAGTCTTCCACACTTGTGGCTGGACTCCGTGCTGGAAGCAAAGAGCAAAGAGCTGACACAGTGGCTTGGCAAGTTCTCTGGCGCATTCCTTCAAGACACGAGCGGAAATACCGTCGGGTCCAATCGCCTTTGAGGCATCCAGGCGAGCTAAAAGCCGGTGGACTGCATCCGGGCGAAAGTGGACTGTCGTTAGTGCAGGTGCGTCAGCGAATGCCGTGTCCGGTAAGTCCATCGTGGTAAGGTCGCGGCCTTGCACACTGCACTTGTGGGAAAAGAAACGTGCGAAAGCCTCCGCTTTCTCATAGCTTGTGGCCCTCTCGCAACCTTCACTATCAGCGAGCAGGGAATGTCAGTGTTCCGACCCTCACCACAAGCACACTTTAGCTTCGTCCACCATTCCTTCTCCTTCAGGGACC